GCTGTTGAGGCTAGAGAGGTGAGCAGAGTAAGTCTGATTCCCTGTATGGACTTCTCTGTTGACATCCACCCCTTGGCGCTCATATGACCTTATGCAGATGCGAGCGCCGTAAAACCTCTACTACAATTTACAAAACGTTTGTTCCCCTCAGGTATCACGAGATTTTCTTCATGATCGACACGTGTCAGGCCGAGTCCATGTTCCAGAAGTTCTACTCACCGAACATTCTCGCCGTCGCCAGCAGCAAAGTGGGGCAAGATTCCCTGTCGGTGAGTTTGGTTTTATATATAATAATATATCAATAATTTTGAATTGTTAGTTATAGTGTGTTAGCAAGTGCTGTTTTTTAATATATTTTTTAAACTGCTGTCCTTTCGTGTATATAGTCAATGTATGGTTGTGATATAGTCAATGTATGGTTGTGATATAGTTAATGTATGGTTGTGATATAGTCAATGTATGGTTGTGATATAGTCAATGTATGGTTGTGATATAGTCAATGTATGGTTGTGATGTAGTCAATGTATGGTTGTGATATAGTCAATGTATGGTTGTGATATAGTCAATGTATGGTTGTGATATAGTCAATGTATGGTTGTGATATAGTCAATGTATGGTTGTGATATAGTCAATGTATGGTTGTGATATAGTCAATGTATGGTTGTGATATAGTTAATGTATGGTTGTGATATAGTCAATGTATGGTTGTGATATAGTTAATGTATGGTTGTGAAAGTTCTTCTTTATGTGGTGGAACTGGTTTTTCTTGTTTCTGTGAAATATTTTCTCTTGTGTGAATGATTATGTGATTGGTGGAAAGCACTCAGAGCTTGTACTCGTATGGGATAGAGCGCTATATAAATGCAATCTATTATTATAATTACTAGCTGGGTACCCCGTTCAATGAACGGACTCAAAAGAATCAATCGTCAAGCCGGTGTGGTAACAGTGCGCACTGTTTGTGAACGGAAGATTCACTTGTTTACAATGGCGTCTTAGAAGACGGACTTTCCCAAGATTAGATCTAAACGAAACTAATAAAAAAAACTTAAAATTAAACTACAGTGACTTCAGACTCCTTAATATAACTGTGCACCCTTTTAATGATTCTGAACCACCATTAATTTTTTTTCAAATTCGAAAGTTAAGTTTATGTTGCAAGTACTGTAAAACTTTTACCTAAACTCTGTGGATGGTTGGCGGGTGCTCCTTCTTTTTTGTGTTGATTACTCTCTTGTAACTCCTCTTATCTTCCGCACTTATATGACCTTATGGTGTTGCAAATGCCGTAAAACTCTTACTATAACAAAACTCTTACTATAACTCTTACTGTAACATAACTCTTACTATAACAAAACTCTTACTATAATAAAACTCTTACTATAACAAAACTCTTACTATAACTCTTACTGTAACAAAACTCTTACTATAACAAAACTCTTACTATAACAAAACTCTTACTATAACAAAACTCTTACTATAACGAAACTGTCCCCTCCCCTGTTGCCTCCCAGCACCACGTAGACCCGGCCCTGGGTGTGTACGTCATCGACCGCTACACGTTCTACGCCCTCGAGTTCCTGGAGAACGTCCGGCCCGGCTCCAAGAAAACCATGGCCAATTTTGTAAGTGAACTTTGTGCACTTGCCTTATATATATATATATATCCAGACAAATTCAAGGGTACCGTAATTTTCACAGACGGAAAATCTGTACTCCAAGCTTTGGAAAACTTGAATTTCGAAAGCCCAGCCTGCCTATCCGTGGCTCAAACAATCAACACCTTCATACAGACCTATGCCATCGACCTGACACTACAGTGGGTACCTGGCCACAGCAACATCCCAGGAAACGACAGAGCAGACACCCTTGCCAAGAAGCGACAAAACACAGCTGACAAAACCTGTCACATCTTTTCCCCATCAACCGGGAGAAGGGGTAGAACCCAGATACTTTAGATAGGCGTTGGATGGAAGAAGTAAAGTCAAAGTACACTTGCCTTTATCAGTTCACGATTTTTTGGGGTTTTTTTGTTTTTTTTTGTCCTTACCTTTCACATGGTGCGGTGGCGGAGCGGTTAGTGCGGTGGCGGAGCGGTTAGTGCGCTCGTCTCCGAAGCGGAGAGTCCGGGTTCGAGCCTCGGTTCGGACACGCATTTTTTTCGCCCCCTCCTGCCCACCCAGCAGTAATGGGTACCTGACTTCCAGTTGGGGAAGTAAAGGCGGCGTGGAAAGGAACTGGCCACCCTACCACAATATGCCCAAGGCCCAGGAAGTTGTCTCTCTAACAAGGCAATCCCCAATGTCCGGATCGCATGCGGGAACAACTTGACTTATTTTGTTTACCCTTCTCATGAACTACTGACTGTTTCCTGATCTGCTCTGTTTTCTATTATCCTTTAGTACGAGCACCACTGCAGCTTTATAGACACTACTGTGATGTGATGATACAAGCACCTTTATAGTTATAGACACTAGTGTGATGTGATGATACAAGCACCACCTTTATAGACACTACTGTGATGTGATGATACAAGCACCTTTATAGACACTACTGTGATGTGATGATACAAGCACCTTTATAGACACTACTGTGATGTGATGATACAAGCACCTTTATAGACACTACTGTGATGTGATGATACAAGCACCTTTATAGACACTACTGTGATGTGATGATACAAGCACCACCTTTATAGACACTACTGTGATGTGATGATACAAGCACCACCTTTATAGACACTACTGTGATGTGATGATACAAGCACCACTGCACCTTTATAAACACTACTGTGATGATCCATTTCTTCACACTGTGAGTGGTGTGTGTGTGTGTGTAGTGGGAGTGACGACATCGCGATGATGGACAAGCAGCCTCTCACTATTGTTGATGGGTTCTCCTTTGTCATTGCTGTATGGCTCGAACGTTTCTTCTACTGACATTCTCATGATATGTAGGCCCGCCCCATTTTTTCATAATTATGTCTAATTTACGTCATACAAACTTTGGTTTTGCTTTGACCTGCGCTATTTTGATTCTGTCTCTCCCCCCCTCCCCCCGCGGCGACAGTTCACGGTGTGCCCGGAGCGCCAGTGTATCAGCACGGTGAGCACACGCACAGACCTGTTCCCCCGAGACGTGTCGCAGACCCTGCTCACAGACTTCTTCGGCAGCGTGCGCAACGTGGAGCTGCTCACAGGTTTGGCAACGTCTTCTCATTTCTGCTCTCGCGGGGTTTTCTTCTTTAAGTTTATTTTTTAGTTTTCATAAGAGTTTTTTGTGTGGTTTTTTTTGGTGTTTTTTTTTGTTTTTTTGTAGTGCACGTTGCCCGTTTTGTTTTGTTTTCTTTAAGGTTTTTTTAATTAGGTTTAGTAAGTGTCTGTTTGGGGGGGGGGTTGTAAGTGTTTTACGAGGCTCGCAACTGCATAAGGTCATATGACATCCACCCCTTGGTGCTCATATAACCTTATGCAGTTGCGAGTGCCGTAAAACCTTCCCAGAAAAAGAGAAAAGAAAACTTATTTCCTCATGTTGTTGTTGTTGTTGTTGTTGCTGTTGTTGTGTTGTGTTTCAGAAACTATTTCCTTATGTGGTTGTTTCAGAAACTATTTCCTTATGTGGTTGTTTCAGAAACTATTTCCTTATGTGGTTGTTTCAGAAACTATTTCCTTTTGTGGTTGTTTCAGAAACTATAATTTATTTCCTTATGTGGTTGTTTCAGAAACTATTTCCTTATGTGGTTGTTTCAGAAACTATAATTTATTTCCATATGTTGTTTCAGAAACAATTTCCCTGGAGAAGATCAACAGAAGTGAGGTGGTCAGAAAGGAAACATGCAGGTGAGACTCCAGGGAGAGGATGTGTTTATGAAGGAGGGGGAGGGAGGGAGGTGGGGAGGATACCTGAGACAAGCTGGTGAAGCATTGAGACAGGGGTCAGTGGTCAGTCTGGTCCGTGGGGTCAAACTGTTCTGTCGAGCCATCCAAGGATGATTCATGGCCAGACTAAATCACCAGGTTTGATGGACGTTCCTGTTTGTGCAGGACTCATGCTATAGTGCGGCCAAACATTAGTGGCTCAACTTATCCTCAAACATCTATATAACGGGTGAATCAATGTCATCTATACTTTGCATAGCAGTTTGTCGCAATTTGTCTTAACTATAAATCATATTTTTCCACAACAATTGAGGCTTGATTTAAAAACTTTCTTCATAAATGTATATAAAATACTATAAATCTCTTTCACGCGGAAAATGTGATTGTTCACAGCACTTCTCGCACACATTTTGCATGCGCATATTATTATAATGGCTTACGTCACGGCTCGCCAATGACACTTTTTAGTGGCAAAACTTGTTACAAGAAATTAATTTTATAGTGAACAATTTTTTTGTCGCAATAAAGGTTCTCAAAACATGCATTCAATAAGCATAAAGTCGCGATTAGAAAACAATGACAGACTTGCTTTTAAAAGCGATTTTGCCCGGGCTGTATAAACTTTTAAAAATCTGTAGATACCATCGACTTGGATTGTTTATTAGTATTTAAGGAATTTTCTGGAATACAGTGTGCAGGAGTTGGAAAAAATATTCACCTGTTAAGACAAATTGATATAAATAAGTCATTGTGCCAAAGTTGGAGAACCTATGTTGGATAGTTAAAAGATATTTGACAATAAATTGCGCCATGAATTTTTGACCACACTATAGTGGACGTTGGTGCTTGTGCTACTACTGCAGGACCCGTGGTAGTCTGGTAGTCATGGTAGGCCTGTCTGTGTGGCTAGTGCAGGACTCGTGGTAGTCTGGTAGTCATGGTAGGCCTGTCTGTGTGGCTAGTGCAGGACCCGTGGTAGTCTGGTAGTCATGGTAGGCCTGTCTGTGTGGCTAGTGCAGGACTCGTGGTAGTCTGGTAGTCATGGTAGGCCTGTCTGTGTGGCTAGTGCAGAACCTGTGGTAGTCTGGTAGTCATGGTAGGCCTGTCTGTGTGGCTAGTGCAGGACCCGTGGTAGTCTGGTAGTCATGGTAGGCCTGTCTGTGTGGCTAGTGCAGGACTCGTGGTAGTCTGGTAGTCATGGTAGGCCTGTCTGTGTGGCTAGTGCAGGACCCGTGGTAGTCTGGTAGTCATGGTAGGCCTGTCTGTGTGGCTAGTGCAGGACCCGTGGTAGTCTGGTAGTCATGGTAGGCCTGTCTGTGCTGCTAGTGCTTGGAAGGAACTCAACTGTGTATGTATTTACGCTTGGTGCTCAAACAACAGATTCCTGGAGCTGTAGTTTCCGTCTGGCTTGTGTTAGTCGAAACCATGGAAAAGGTTAGAAAAAATTACCGGTCTTGTGATCAAATATCAGAAGAAAATTTTTTTGATCAAATCTGACTTTATAATTTACTGGTCTGGTGCTAAAAAAAAAATCAGAAAACAATTGTTGATCAAATCTGATAGGAAAAGTTACTGATCTGGTGCTAAAATATCGGGGGGGGGGGGGGGGGGGGAATTTGATCAGATATAAATCTGACATGGAAATTTACAGGTCTGGTGAGAAAATAGAAAAATAAAATTGTTGGTCAATTCTGACAGGAAAATATATGGTCTGGTGAGAAAATATCAGGGAAAAACATTGGTGATCAAATATCAAAGAAACAAAAATTTGATCATATCTGACAGGAACATTTACTGATCTCGTGACAAAATTAAATATCAGAAAACAATTGTTGACCAAATGTGACAGGGAAATTTACTGATCTGTGCTCAAATGTCTGTAAAAAAAATCTGACTGGAAAAGTTATTTGGTCTGGTGATGAAATATCAGAAGAAAAAAAAATTTGATCAAATCTGACAGGAAAATTTACTGGTTTGGTGATCAAATATGATGAGGAAAAAAATGATGAAATGTAACAGGAAAATTGACTTGTCTGGTGATCAAATATCAGAAAAAAAATTGTTGGTCAAAAGTAATAGGAAAATATAGGCTACTGATCTGGTGATCAAATGTCAGAAAAAAAATTGTTGGTCAAATCTGACAGAAGTATTTGTGGTCTGGTGATAAAATATCTTTTTTTTTTTTTAATGGTAATGAAGTAGCTGAGAAAAAAATGTTGATCAAATCTGACAGAAAAATTTATGGTCTGGTAATAAAATATCAGGAAAAAAAATTTGATCATATCTGACAGGAAGATTTACTGGTCTGGTGATAAAATTAAATATCAGAAAAAAATTGTTGATCAAATGTAAGGAAAATTTACTGGTTTGGTGGTAAAATATCAGAAAATTTTTAAAAATAAAATCTGACAGGAAAATTTATGGTCTGGTAGTCAGATATCGTTTTTTTTTTAATTTTGATCAAATCTGACAGGAGAATTTACTGCTCTGGTGATCGAATATCAGTCAGGAAAAATTTTTAAAAATTAAATCTGACAGGAAAATGTATTTGGTCTGGTGATCAAATTTAACAAGAAAAAAAATTGTTGCTCAAATATGACAGGAAAATTGACTGGTCTGGTGATAAAATATCTGGAAAAAAATGTTGCTCAAATCTGACAGGAAAATTGACTGGTCTGGTGATAAAATATCTGAAAAAAAATTGTTGCTCAAATCTGACAGGAAAATTTACAGGTTTGGAGATAAAATGTCAGGGAAAAAAATTGTTGGTCAAATCTGCCGGGACATTGTGAGATGGGGAATCTGTTTCCGACATGTTGTGCACCATAGTGGACAAAAAACCTTTGACAAATTGTCCTAAAGTAAGCTGTGTGTTTTCATTTTGTAAACTCTCGGAAAATTATTGAAATTTGAATTTGAGCCTTGGCAACAATTCCTCTGAGTACATGTACAGTGGAAACCATATATAACAGGCCCGGTAATAACAGGGATCCGGTAATAACAGGGATGTTTAAAATCCCTGTTTTTTTCTACTCTTTGTCTCTATTAAAAGTTATCGGCAATAACAGGGCCTCATCGGAGCCCAACCGGTTATAGCAGGGACAAAGGTTCGTTAACAATGTGTAAAAAGTAAGAGAGAGAGAGAGAGAGAGAGAGAGGGAGAGTGAGAGAGAGAGGACGACTAGTTGGCCTAGATCTAAGCCTACTTCTTTCATTATGGTCACCAACGATGTCAAGCGCAAGAGAAAATGCCTTTCAATTGACAAAAATACGAAATAATCCAGACTGTTGACAAAAGCAAGCACCACGGGCAGAGATTTGTCGTCAGTTCGACATTCCGCAAGGGTCGATTCCACCATTATCAAGGATAGAGAGAAGATAGTAGCAGCATACTCCAATGAAAAGTTTGCTCTGGATCGAAAGAAGATGAGACTACCCGATGTAGATACTGTGGACCAAGCTCTTCTGATGTGGTTTAAGGAGGCAAGGAGAAAGTTGGTGCCAAAACCCCTGTTTGTGGGTACTTGTGGCAAGGGGAACTACCTATGAATAAGTACAGCTGGATTAGTCCACAAATGCTTACTTTCCTTGCATTTCGGATTTAACAGGGATCGGATATAACAGGACATTTTCTCTACTCCCACAATCCCTGTTATATCAGGTTTCCACTGTAATCTGCTGCTGGGTCTGTATGCTTCCTGGGAAGCCAAAAATGTATGTGAGTGTTCTAGGGTCTGCTGGGGTTATAACAATCGTAAAGTGCATAGAGCTTGCTGTGGAGGGTGCATATATGTATTATGTAAATGTAATTACAGTATAACACAGATAGATCAAATTCGTCAGGACTGGCCTCGGTAGTTCGAGGGATATCTTACAAAGATAAAGAAGAAGAAAAAAGGGGGGCCGCAGGCACAGTTCGACGGATGCGTGATTTCGAGTCTTCTGTGTTCGACCTATCCGTGTTATACTGTATTAATATTATTAAAATGTTATTATTATTATTATTATTATTTAAGGCTATTGTCAGAATAAGCATCAATGTGTATTGCTCTTAGACTATGTATCTATATATAACTCTAAAGGTCTTGTAATAAAATTCCTACTTGTGGTTGAATGATGCATCTGATGTGGTGTGTACATTTTGTCAGCTTTGCTTCTCTTTTTATATTGTGAAATTTAATTAGAGAAATACCTCTTATCTTTTCTTATCTTATCGTATCTCATCTTATCTTATCTCATCTTATCTTTTCTTATCTTATCTCATCTTATGTTTTATCTTATCTCATCTTGTTTTCTTTTCTGATCTCATCTTATCTTATTTCATCTTATCTTTTCTTATCTCATCTTCCAGCAAAGAGTCGTGTTCAGAAGGTCGTGAGAAGAGCAAGTTGTCGTACCCAGACCAGATCCCGCCGGTGCTCATGTGATGTGTGTGTGTGTGTGTGTGTGTGTGTGTGTGTACACCTAAGTATGTTCATGACTGTGTTCTACGTAAAGGATCAACGTGTGTATGTTCATGAGTGTTCTGTACCCTCGTCTGTCTGTCTGTCTGTCTGTCGGTCATTCCAGGAGAGGAGAAAATTGTCAAAGTGTTGGGGAATAAATGAAGTTGTCAAATATGTATCAGATGAACTGTATGCTTGTATTGAATTTTAATGTGATTATAAAAATAGCATAGGAATGTTTGTACTTGTACATGATGATGTATTTACTTTTGATGTGATTATAAAAACTGTAGGCCTACAATGTACGAATGTTTGTATTTCATGTTGCTGTGATCATGAAAAAAGGAAGCCACTCAGTGAGTGTTGGGGTGAATGTGTGTGTGTGTGTACGCGTGTGTTGACGTGAATGTGTGTGTGTGTGTACACGTGTGTTGACGTGAATGTGTGTGTGTGTGTGTGTGTATGCGTGCTGACGACATTGTCTTGGAAGTTTTCTGTTTCCTTAGCGTTTCATGACCCTTGAAATTTCCTGTGTTGACAAATTAAACCTGTTTGTTTTTACTTTACCATACTGTGTCTTCCTCTTTGTCGCTCTCTTCTGACCCAGGATTGTTGTGTAAATGGCCATTTTTTCCAGAGAAAAAATTTTAAAAATTCCTATACATGCATATGGGGAGACTGTTTATCCAGTTTCTCGGTCTTTCTGCTGGGATGTTACATCCTTCTTGGTTCTCGTGGGCCCTGACAGGCAGGATTGCAGCCTTCCTCCTACATGGTCTGAAGTGTGTCAATGGGGACGTAAAACACTTTCACGGAATTTTTTTTAAAAATCATGTTTTGTGAAAAAAAAGGGTGGGTGGTTGGTGGGTGCTCTGGTGTGGTTTGCTTCTTCTTTCCTGATCCTAGACATCTATCGTCTTTATCTCTCCTCCTTTTTTGTGTTTGTTACTCTCTTGTAACACCTCTAATGTTCGGCACTTATATGACCTTATTGTGTTGCAAGTGGTGTAAAACTGTCACCAAAACGAAATCTTTTGCTTCTGGTGTGCCCTGACAGGCAGGATGGCAGCCCGCCTCCAACATGATCCAAATTTGTGCTGTCCCCAGGGTTTATGCACCCCGCTTAATTCAGCAAAATTTGATCTTTTTTGCTCAATTTTATGAATATCTGATTATTTTCTTTTATCATTTTTTGTTAAAATTAACACAGAATCGCATAATTTCACATTTTGGGCTCAGTTTGCAGTTTCAGAATTTTTCTTGTATAAAACGACGGGGACAGACTATGTCAATCAGGGTGTAAAACGCTTCATTTGAAAAGAAAAAAAAAATGTTTTGGAATTTGCTTCACCAGATATTGTGGTACAAGTGTCGGCCAAACTCCGAAAAACATGTTTTGTTTTTATTCAAACTTTTCACATATGTGAGTGTGAGGCATCGTGGTGTAATCCGGCGCTCGTCAAAATAAGGAAATCAAAATAAGGAAATCAAAATAAGGAAATCAAAATAAGGAAATCAAAAAAGAAACTGGCAGTTTTCTGGCCCTAGGCCAATTTTTTTCCCTAATTTTCTTTTTTGGCTCAACACCTTTTACATCCATTTCAAAGCACATTTCGTGTTGATTTTACTCAAAAACGTTGATTAAAGGCACAAAAACTGTACATTTTCAGTTTCCAAGGCCTCTCAAGCTATGGAAATTACCAAACTTTGACGGCCATTTTCTCGCTAATTTTACCTCTGAAACCAGGCGACCCTGACCTCCTTCAAGGCAAATATTTCAACTTCTATTCAAGATAAATGGATTTTATTTTCTCCAAAAGCAAGACAAATGAGCAAGCTTTAAGATGATTCCAATAACTCCACAAGCCCAACAATTGACTAGCGCCTGATTCCAGGTCGTGACACATACATATATATATATATATATATATAGATCTAGTATAACCGTGTGTATACATATATATATATATATATATATATATATATATAGATCTAGTATAGCCATGTGTATACACATATATATATATATATATATATATAGATCTAGTATAACCGTGTGTATACATATATATATCGTGTGTATATATATAGATCTAGTATAACCGTGTGTATACATATATATATATATATATATATATAGATCTAGTATAACCGTGTGTATACGGTGTAAAAAAATAGGCAGAGGAGACCCACCAACAAGTACAACAGAAATATAAATATATATAAATATATATAAATATATGTATTTTCACACAACACATTGCCAAAAAAAGTCACTTGACACAACTCGGTTTCATAACATACATATATATGAGAAAAATGTGAACATCAATACAAACATTGTCATAACGTAACATTGTCATTTTATAACGTAACATTTTCATAACATAACATTGTCAGTGAGCAAGGAGTGGGTGGTTGGCAGGTGCTCTGGTGTGGTTTGCTCCTTCTTTCCTATATAAAATCTATGGTCTCTATCTCCCCTCCTTCTGTTTTATGTATGTTACTCTCTTGTAACACCTCTAATCTTCGGCACTTATATGACCTTATTGTGTTGTAAGTGCAGTAAAAACTGTAACTAAAACTACACTGAAAAAAGAAGTGAATTCTGGAATTTGTGTCACCTTCCCACATGCGATGGTACAAGTTTCGGCCCAACACCAAAAGAGGCATTTCATCCTAAAACTATTCATGTATATAGATCTAGCACACCAGGTACTACTGGTAATAATACATGTAAAAAAAAGGCATAGGAGGAGACCCACCTTATTCAACAAGTACAACAGAAATATACGTATTCTCACACAACACATTGCCAAAACAACTCTGGTTTCACATGGAGAAAAGTGTGAACATCAATACAAACATTGTCATAACGTAACATTTTATAACATAAGATTGTCACTTTATAACGTAACCTAGTCGTAACGTCACTTTGTCATAAACATTTTATAACATAACATTGTCATAATCATAATGTAACATTGTCATAACATAATACAACATTTTATAACATAACATTGTCAGTGAGCAAGGAGTGGGTGGTTGGCGGGTGCTCTGGTGTGGTTTGCTCCTTCTTTCCTATAAAAAAAATCTATCTTCTCTATCTCCCCTCCTTTTTTGTATTTGTTACTCTCTTGTAACCTCTAATCTTTGGCACTTATATGACCTTATTGTGTTGCAAGTGCTGTAAAACTCTTACTAAAACTAAAAAGAAAAAAAGTGAGCACGGCCTGGCACCTGAGAGTGAGCAGCTTGGGGTGAGAGTCGTCCGTACGAGAGGACAGACCTGCCTCCAGATTTAGCGCCCTGTCTTACAACTCTCGGTAAATAATCATTTTGCCAGATACCACAAAGGTGGCCATTATGCAAGTAAATCTGGAAATCCAGATTTCTTCAATTGTCCACATTTGGCCCAACTTCAGGCAGATTGTGGCAAAATATCAAAAGTTCTGATACACAAGATGCCTTTGACAACATGATCTGTTTAAAACATTTGAGTCACAACGCACACACACTTCCACGTGGATCCAAAGAGTTTCAAATTTTTTTTCATAGCCAATTGGCACCTCTGGATACCAGGTTTTCCACAAGCAGGCAGAACAATGGGAGCTCACTTTTGCTCAAACGTATTCGGCAAAAGTAGAAACAATCTGCTCACAATGGATCGACTAAGGGAAGCCGGCGTCTCTAGAGGGTCGGGGAGAGACAGCAACATGCGTGGAAAAGCCAGAAGAATATCCGACCAGCTGATAACTGACACGATCAGCAGGCACACCCTTTCATGGATCCTGGAGAGGAGGGAGGAGCAGCTATGGCATTGTGACGTCTTCAATGACACCTATTCTCCTACCACGTAAGTAAGTATCACAGCACAGGAGTACAGTAAGGAAATGCTCCAAAGCATAACCCTTGTCCCTCTCATTACTGACCAGACCATCAATGATTGATTTATAGAGGCACCAGCCATCCATGTCCAGGTGCTGTCCCTCTCATTACTCTCAATCCAAGATCAATGACACAATTCACACAACATCAGAATCCAACATGAACACAACCACTTGCCTTCCCAGTGAGCATGGAAGTCGAAATGACTAGATGCAATAATAGAAAGAATTCTATTTGACTAATTAAGGTAGAGGAGCTCTCTTCAACAACCATCAAGTTCCAAGCAAGTGGAAAGTTATACAGTTGGGGGTTTTTATTATTTTAAAAAAACCCTCTTGTTAAGCAACCATCACCGTCTCTGTACGGAGGCCCGCCTCCCCATTGACTACAACCATCACCGTCTCTGTACGGAGGCCCGCCTCCCCATTGACTACAACCATCACCGTCTCTGTACCGAGGCCCACCTCCCCATTTACCTGATTTGTGGCCGTGGGGGCGGGGTAAGTGAAACAACTACATTTGAACAATGATTTTTACGCTTAATCAAAATAAAACTTTAAAATCATTTTTTTTAAATACCTACTATAATTTACTATAAATTATTTTTAAAAGTGTAAACATTGACCAGGTTGCTATAACATTGTCTGAACATTTCAAGAATGACTCATCTATATATATATATATCATTTCATCCTCCAATGCTATGTCAAGCTGAACATTTCAAGAATGACTCATCTATATATATATATATCATTTCATCCTCCAATGCTATGTCAAGCTGAACATTTCAAGAATGACTCATCTATATATATATATATATCATTTCATCCTCCAATGCTATGTCAAGCTGAA